GAAGATTACGCTCAATCTCCTGAAGTTTAGCATTGAGATAGTCATCGTCATCGCCATTGCCATTGCTTTTCAAAAGTGCATTTTTGGACTTGACAACTTTTATTTTCTGAAGTTTTACTTTTTTCTGCTGCTTATAAGATTCAATCTCTATTTCTTCGCATGTTATTTTTTGTTGATTATAACTATGTTGCTTTTTTACGATTTTTTTGAGCAAACTCCTCATGTCAACTGAAAGTGAAACAAGACTACCCAAGTCTACACCGTCTGTATTAGGAGTTGTAGAGGGGTTGGACTGGGTACTTTTAGCCTTACTGGAACGGATCGGTTTGGCGATAGTAACTGAGCAAACAAGCAGGATTGATGATAGTACAGCGGTTGGTAGTTTCATTTTACTGGTTTGATCGAGTTGCGGATAATTGTTATTCAACAGGTCGGATTTAGATGGTATTTATGTCGGTTATTGAGTGGATAATATTAAAAAGCATATTTCCTGGATGACCGTCTTAAGGGATTGGTGTTACTGGCAGGGTTGGTGTTGATTTGCTATCAATGTCAAAGCGACTCAAGAAATCTCCCTTTATATGGTGGCATGTAACTTTGGTTGAACCGCTGTTTGGCTATACACTCAAACATCGTATGGTTGATTATGTAGTTTCCCGCCCTTATTCACCCTAACCCTAAACAGGGTCAGTGAGCCACAATCTAAAAAATCAGTGTATGCTATGTAAACCTGTAAACCTATGTGGGACTGAGCTGACATCCAGTTATTAGTTGTTCATCAATGGATTCAATCAATCAATTGAATCAATACAATGTAGTTCATGTTGCAACCACAATGTCACATTGATGATCAGTGACTTGCAGCTGTTGTGTTGGCATTGCATGTTGTGTGTTACTATATCAATATCGATTGTCACTATATAGCTGTATTGACTACACATCATGATCATATGTCATGGTTGACTCGTATTCTGGATTGATGTACACATTGTATTGTATTGCATCACTCGAACACGAACACGAACTTTGTATGACTCGTTGAGCAACTTGTTCAATAACTCATTGTATGACTCGTATATACACTGCAATTGGATCCAGTCACTCGACATTACAACACTGTCCACATACAACCTGATTGTGATGGTGGTTGTCGATCTGATTGTCGTGTCGGTATATATGTCGAGTATGTATATCCGAGTGATTAAGCCATACATGTATATGCACACAATACATACAATACACACCAATTGCATTGATCAGCATGTGTCAACTGGTCAATATTGTCAACCTGGTTATACACGCACTTGACATGTACATCTGGACAGTAATCATTGTACAATCCAGACTGTTGTGCAAACCATATATGACCAGTCATGTCAAATATCCAATCAAACATCCAGTCATGAATACAACCAGAAATACAAACTCGGGTAGTCCGAGTATCGATCAACAACTGCAATCGATATCAAACTATCGTGCACAATCGATTGTAATCCACACCAGTTATAGTCAATCACACATGTCACACATGTCATGATGTATGTATATCCAATGTCAAATGACGATCATATTTTATTGTAAATTAAATCAAAATGACAGTTGAAACAGTTGAGCCAGTCCATATTAGAATTCAAATCAGTTATATTGAGTCTCACGCCAAGATCATTTAAAAAATGATTTAAGCCTATTCATAAATTTAAAAGTTCCCTGTGAATTGAAGGGGGTTTGAGTGGGACGAACTTTGGACGGTATTTGTGACTGCTGCGAATGTTTAGGAATTGTATTGCTATGTGATGAAGATTGACGGTTTTGTTGGGCACTAAGTTTTTGAAGTTTTTTAAGTTTTCGTTGTGGTTTATTCTGGAATTTTTTACGAGAACACTCCTTACAACCTGATGATAGTTTATCGATGGATTCTAATTTGTAGAGATATTCCTTAACGAGGGAGTGTGAGAGGATAAGCAAAAGTTGCTCATTGAGTGATCTAAAATTGAAAGGTTTTCCGGAAAAGCACTCCACAAGACTTA